GGGAGTGCACCAGACATCATGTACTTCCACTGTTTCGAGAGTCTAGGACTAGATCCAGCATTGTTGCAGAAGTATGATGGTCCTATCTATGGTTTCAATAACCAACCTATTCTAGTAGAAGGAGTTCTTACCCTCCATGTGGCTTTTGGGAGGGGTAGAACCTATGTGACCCTGTCGGTCTGGTTTCTTGTAGTCAAGATGGCGTCCTCCTTCAACATTGTTATTGGCCGACCCACGTTGACTGAAATCCGAGCTGTGGTTTCCCAGTCTCACCTCTGTATGAAGTTCCCAACTCCCATGGGAATAGCAACACTGCGAGGAAACCAGGAGGTGGCCAGGCATTGTTATATCACCTCGGTAACACAACCCATGAAGGGCAAAACTCAGACACCTGAAGCCATTCCTCAGCAAATTTCTGATAATCAGCAAATTATGGGTGTTGAGATCGTAGATAATCGACCAGAAAATGAAACCAGAGCTGCTCCGGTCGAAGATGTTGAAGAAGTACTTATTGATGACAGAGATCCGAGCCGAAAAACGCAAATCGGAACTAGATTGAACCCAGATGAAAAAGCAGAGCTCATAACTTTTCTTCGAGCTAATAATGATGTATTCGCATGGACTTCGGCAGATATGCCAGGAATTCCAAATTCAATCTCTCAACATAAGCTCAGCACCAATCCATTGAAAAAACCAGTGGCCCAGAAGCGGCGTCTCTTCGGGGGTGAGAGGCTTCAGGCTATTAAAGAAGAAGTAACGAAGCTCTTGTAGGTTGGTTTTGTCAGGAAAGTCGATTACTGTGAATGGGTGGCTAACCCAATTCTGGTGAAGAAGGCAAATGGCAAATGGCGAATGTGTATTGATTACACAAATCTTAACAACGCCTGCCCTAATGATTGCTATCCAATGCCGAGCATTGACAAACTAGTTGAAGCGGCTTCAGGCAATGAGAGGTTAAGCCTCTTGGACGCATATTCGGGGTATCACCAGGTGCCAATGGCTCTAGAAGACGAAGAGAAAACCGCATTCTATGCTGGCGATGAAATTTATTGTTACGTCATGATGCCGTTCGGCTTAAAGAATGCAGGTGCTACTTATCAGAAAATGGTAACCATTGTCTTCCACGCCCAGATTGGCAAAAACCTGGAGGTATATGTCGACGACATTGTGGTAAAGAGCCTAAAAGCAGAAGACCTTCTCGACGACCTCGACGAAACCTTTAACAACCTCAGAAAGAACCGGATGCGGTTGAACCCAGCCAAATGTATCTTCGGAGTGGAGTCTGGAAAATTTCTAGGTTTCATGGTGTCCCGAAGAAGGATTGAGGTCAATCCAGAGAAGATCAGAGCAATTGCTGAGATGGAACCGCCGAAGCCAATTAAATATATACAGAGGTTGACTAGAAGGGTGGCAGCTCTGCATCGATTTATCTCCAGATCAGCAGATAAGTGTTTACCATTCTTCAAAATTATGAGGTCGGTCGCC